GATGTCTGGGAAGGATTTTAATTCTCTATCACTGATGAAGCTGAGCTTGACTGGGTAGGAAATTCTTGGTTGAAATTGTTTATCTTTGAGGACTTTAAAAACTGGACTCCAATCCCTTCCAGCTTGCAGTGTTTCTGCTGATAGATCTCCTGCTATTCTGATTAGTCTTCCCTGTAGGTAGTCTGACCTTTCTCTCTCACTGACTTTAGGATTTTTTTCATTTATAATTACTTTGTGTAGGTGAATTACTATGTGTCTAGGGGTTGCTCTTCTTATTTGATGTCTTGTGGGGGTTCTTTGTATCTCTTGTTTAGATGGTCACATCTCTGGTGAGATGGGGAAAGTTTTCTTGGATAGCTTCCTGGAATACTTACTCTAAGGTGTTCTCCCTTTCACTTTCTTCTTCTGGGATACCAATCAGACATAGGTTTGGCCTCTTGATACAATTGCATGGTTTTTCTTTCTGGGTTTTCTTTCTATGTTTTTTAATAGATCTGGTTAGTTCCATGTTTTGGTCTTCAAACTCTGAGATTCTTTCTTCTGCTTGATTAATTCTGCTTTTCATGCTTGTCATCTTGTTTTTTATTTCCTGGATGAAGTTTTGTATGGCCAAAATCTTTTTTACAAGCTTTCTCGGTGTTACATCTAGTCTTTCTTGAGTCTTAGTAACTCTTTCTGTCCATTCCCTGATCCTTGTTGTATTCTGGGGCCAGTTGTTGGTGACTTCCATTGTTTGGCCTCTGAGGTCTGATTTTTCAGGCATTGTCTCTTTGGTACACTGGAAATTACCTTTGTTTTTCCATTGATTTTTCCTCATACACAAATTCAGTTTCAGTGGGAAGGACTTTCACTTCTGATGTTTGCTTAGTCTTCTATTCTTCCCTGATCAGGGCTCTGAATTTGTTCGATTTTGAAACAGGGCTGGGGGTGGGAAGCTTTGCTGTCTCTTGTAGTTTGAGAGTCGCATAAGGTGGAAGATGGGAAGATGCCATTGTATTTCATTGTGTACATTAATTCGTGTACATTAATTATTATTTATGTAACATGTATCATTCAATGTGTACAATGTCTGGCCTTGTATTTCTCTTTGGTTCTGTTATTCAGAATTATATATATAATTAATGTAACATATATCATTCAATGTGTACAATGTCTGGCATTGTATTTCTCTTTGGCTCTGTTATTCAGAATTATATATATAATTAATGCAACATGTATCATTCAATGTGTACAATGTCTGGCATTGTATTTCTCTTTGGTTCTGTTATTCAGTTGCAGTGGGAAGGGCTTTCACTTCTGATGTTTGCTTAGCCCTCTATTCTTCCTTGATCAGGGCTCTGTATTTGTTCTATTTTGAAACAGGGCTGAGGGTGGGAAGTTTTGCTGTCTCTTGTGGTTTTAAGAGTCGAATAAGGTGGAGGATGGGGAGCTAGGATTCAGAAACTACTTGCAAATCACAATGTTTACTCACTGGGGTACGGATTCCCTGAGACCCACTCCCCACCACCACTCTATATTATGATGCAATGGGTACACAAGTGTACCCCCCGAGTCCAAGATAAAGTAACAATAATGAGGAAAACAGAGAAAAGTAGAATGAAGTAAGATGGATACAAATAATTACAACAAGCAAACAAACAAACCAAAAAAACACAAAAAGAAAAGCAGAAACCAAAGCAAAAAACAATAAAACACACACACACACACACACACACACACACACACACACACACACGAAAAATAAACAAAAAATCCCCCCAAATACAGAAAAACTGAACATACACACACACATGCTTGACACAAAATGAAAGGAGAAGAAAAAAAGAGAAAAAAGGGGGGAATACAAATCGAACCCTCACACATACATTCACATCAACATTAAACTAAAAAAAACCCTGAAAGATGAACACTCAATCATTCTCATATACACATAAACAGAAAACAAAAAACGAAAGAAGAAAGAAAAAAGAAAAAGAGAAAAAAGAGGTGGAATACAAATGGAATGATCAACACATTCACACACGCGCACAAAAGAAAAAAATTTAAAAAAGAAATTCTGAGCACTAAGCGCCCTCTTGTGGCAGATTCTGTAATTGTTCCTCTCAGTGGCTCACCGGTAAGCCCCTCTACTGCCTCTTGTGGGGCCTCATTCACAATCTCCCCAGTGTGCGGTCTAGGGACAGAGGAGGAGGTGTGGTGGAGGTGGGTGGGGCTTTAGTCCTCCTCTCCCACTCTTGTATGGTCAGGGGGATCTTGTCCAGTGGGGAGGTGCGGGATTGTCTCTTCCTCAGGTATAGGCAGGGGGTGCCCCAGCCAGGTTTATCCTGGAGTAGAGTTCTCCTATCGCTGCTAATGTCCAGGCTCCACTTGGTGTTGGTCTCTCGCAGTCGTGCCCCAGCCGTGTGGGTCTGACGTTCAGGGAATTGCTGGGGAGCAGGGGTTGGGTCAGTCCTGGACTCACCACTGATCTTTTCCAGGCGTCTTCCTCATCCTTTTCTGGTCTCTTCCTTTGTCCCACGGCTGGACCTGGGTAGGGGATGGGCACCTGAGACTCAGCACTCACCCTGTCCCTCCAAAGTTTGTGTTTTCAGGATATTCCCTCTGAGTCACCATCAGCCCCTGAGTAGTTAATCCAGTGGTCACAGAGATTGGGTCTGTCGCTCCATGGTTAGCAAGCGGGAGCACTTCTCTTCCCGGTTTTCAAGATGGTGGCAGGGTTCCTGTTTCATCTTCTCCAATAGGGCTCTGCTTCTGGCTTCCTCACTGTGTTCCTTCTGCTGCCCTTGATACCAATGTCTGGCCGGGCGCTGCAGTGGTAAGGCAGAGCCTGGAGCTGGCAGTCACTCCTGGCAGCTTCTTCCTGGGAAGGGCTTTGCTGATTTTAAAAAATGATGCTCAGCTTCTGCACCCCGGGAAGTGCTAGGACCAAGCAGAGCAGCTGCAGCACCAGCTGCTTTATCAGGAGAGCCTTGGCCACTTGCTCTGGAGTCTGCTCTCAGCTACTCACACGCCCAGTTACTCACAGACACATATGCAAAATTGTCCATACACTTAGTCACTCACCCCGGGACTCACATAGTCTGACTGTCTCCATGCCACCTTGTCTAGAGAGCTCAGAGTTTTTTGCTAAACATTGCTTGCATTCTCTGGGAACTACACAATAAAATGTTTGCATTCTCTGTGGTACTACACAATAAAAGTGTAGTACTTCCCAGAAAAAGTGATTGAGGATTTTAATTGTAAAGATAAGGTAAAACACAACCTTTGGGATGGGTTATAAGGATTCAAAAACCAGGATTAATGAACTTGTAAGCATAAATGTACATATGAGAATTAATTTATAAAAATGATCAAATAAAAATTTACAAAAGAAGCTATTAGTCACTTTTGTATTGTGAACATGTTCTCCAAGTGGCCAGTGAAAATGTGTCTGGGAGTTTGTAGCAGCTTTTTAGAAGAATTTTTAAATGCATATGAGTTATAAACAGCCCTAGGAAACTCTGAAGATGTCTCAGGTGCACTGAGGGGAGTGGTAGATAGGTGGGATAGAATCCTGTCTAGTCACATTGCTGTACTGATAAGGAAGAATCAGACTAAAAGGATCTCACAGAAAATGCTTCCAAACTGGGCACAAACTTCGAAAGCATGAGAAAGACATGTGTACCAGAACATCATGTGACCCGTATTCACCCTAAGGTCTATGATTCCACCTGAATATGTTTAGCTCGAGCAGCCTATCTGAGGAAACAATTATATTGGTGGCCTTCAAACTCTTTTCAAATCTGGGAGTCCTTGGTTAAGAAAGAGAAGAAAATATCACTGGCAAGGCTAATAAACAGAACATGTCTACTCAGAGCTTGGCTCACTGAGGCGTTGGAGAAGGGCGCAGGTCCCCTCAGCCCACCTTTCCCCTAAGGCCCGTTGGAGCATAGTTGAAGAACATTAATTTATCAAAATGCAGGACAATCCACAGCAAGTCATGAATCCGGCTACAACTCTATCACTGAATAACCCAACACAGGTTGAGTATCCCTTATTGCAAAGGTTTGGGATCATAAGTGTTATGGATTTTGAACTTTTTCAGTTTTTGCATATTTGCATTATTTATATACTGGTTGAGCATCCCTATCCCAAAATCCCCAATCCAAAATGCTACAATGAGCATTTCCTTTGAGCATCATGCTGATGTTCAGACAGTTTTGAATTTGGAGCATCTTGAACTTTGAATTTTTGACCTGTACTGAGAGATGGCTCCCATAAGTTTTACAGTTCTCTGTAAACAAGTTAGCCAACTTTTAAAGTTTTTTCTCCATTCTTTGTCTTTAAAACACTAAGGAGATTACCATCTAGCACCAACAACCTGTGACCTTAGTAATTTTAGTAGTGACTCCAGCCATAGGAACCCAGTGTAATTGAGTAGGTAAGAACTGGTGGGGTACTGTGGGGCCAAACATGAAACTAATTTTAGAAAAGCTTCCAGACTTGCAATCTATGAGTTGTTTCAGTTCTAGAAATCTGCTTCTGATAAAGAGTATGGCCACTGTGTTCACAGCAGGGGCTCTGCCAACGGCTGTATCGTTGTGGTGACATCCCTGGAATCTGACCAGGACCACTATCAGAATGCCCAGAGGGAGATAATTTAAATATAGATATAGAAATATATCATTATTTAAATATATTTAAGTACACATGGGCATTTAAATATATGCATTTAAACATGCATGTATTTAAACATATACATTTTATATATATTTAATATGTTAAATATATATGGGCATGAATATAGACTATATAGAGAGTTGGGCTATCTCCATATAGCTAAATCTACATCTATCTACCATTTTTTTTAAGTTGAAGTATTACTCTGTTGCCCAGGCTGGAATGCAGTGGCATTATCATGGCTCACTGCAGCCTTAGCCTCCTGGGTTCAAGCAATCCTTTTGCTTCAGTCTTCCAAGTAGCTGAGACTACAGGTACCAGCCACCACAGCCGGTTAATTTTTTTTATTGTAAAGATGAGTTGTTATGTTACCTCCTTTGCCTTATCTCAAACTGCTGGGTTCAAGCAATCCTCTCGCCTTGGCCTCCCAAAATGCTAGGATTACATGCATTAGCCACCATGACTGATCTATCTATCATCTGTCTGTCTGCCTGCCTGCCTGCCGACGATCTATCTGTCTGTCTCTCTCTCTCTCTCCTCAGCCCTGGACCAGAGCTGTTGAGGCTGAATTTCTAGATTGAAGGCTAGAATTTTTCTATCTAGAAATTTTATTTCTATAGAAATATCTAGAAAATATACAAAGTTTCCCTAGGGGGTCTATATTAAATTAGGTTTGGGAACTGCTGCTCTAAGTTTCCTCTCAACTCTAAAATGCTGTTCTTTTGGCTTTTCAAGAAGACCCTAGTTCTAAAATATTATGACCTACTTCCAGACTGTGCCTATGCCTACCATAACCACTGTTATCAACAGTGTGAACAGCACGTAAGAATGAGGGAAAGGACTAAGCATTTATTAAGGTCAAATGTGCCCAAGGCACCTTGATAGGCAATAAAATATATTAATATGACAACAATAATAATGATAATAAAAAAGACATGCTCCTTACCCCCAAGTAGCTTACAATTTAGTTTCCTATGAGGAATCATGATTTAGGAAAAAACACTTGTGGGATCAAATAATTGTGTTTAAGTCATGTTTTAATTATTTTACTTGTTATTAATGTTTTTAGGATCTTGACATTCAATGTCATTTGATTTTTTTCATACCCCCTTCCCCACCTTGGGGGTATAAAACTAGTGGATGACATAAAATAAAAAAATAATAATTCAAAGAAGACGATTGTTGACACCATGTTGAGGATTTCATGAGACACCCTTCCCCACACTAGATTTCACTGGAATCATTCTAGATGCTGTAAAGTCAAACTTGAGAATTTCTGTTAACACACAGGCCTAGAATTTTACATCTATGGCATACTGTTGTTTCAGCACGCCACCTACAGGTCACATATGAAATAATCTATTTAAATTAGAAATGTTCAGGTCAGCCCTTTTCCTTAGTATTTATGGAGGATGTCCCTGACTGCTCTTAGGATTTTTCATTTAATAGAGGAGGCAATTACTTTTATAGTATCCGTGAACATGCTTCCAAAATATTTATCAATGAAGTACTTAGTCTTAATCTCTCCAATAAAATACATAAGCATTTCTCCCCACACCTAATGTATACATCATGCTTTATCACTTTCTTTCTTTTACTCTCACCCATTCAGCTGGAAGTAGATTCATACTACCCTGAATTTTCCTAGCACCTAAGCTCTCTTTTTCTTTATACAGCTTTTGGCTAGAATAGGAGCACTTTCTTCTTCTTTTTCTTCTTCTTTTTGGTTGGAGTCTCACTTTGTTGCCCAGGCTGGAGTGCGTGGCATGACCACTGCTCTCTGCAGCTACGAACTCCCGAGCTCAGGTGATCATTCTGCCTCAGCCCCACAAGTAACTGGGACTAGAAGCACACAACACTAAACCCAGCTACTTTTTTTGATTTTTTTTTAGGGGGAGGGGTAGAGACACAAGGTGTTGCTATGTTGCCCAGTCTGGAACTTTTAAATTTATTTTTCATTTTTTTGTAGAGGTGAAGTCTCACTATGTTTTCCAGGTTGGGCTCAAACACCTGGTCTCAAGCAATCCTTCCACTTTGGTTTCCCAAAGTGCTGGGATCACAGGCAGGAGCCAGTGCACCCAGCCTAGGAGCTGTGCTTATTAATTTTTTTTTTCTATTAACTTTTGTCCCCAATACTTTAACATTCCATGAATTATGAGGATAGAATGAACAATAACACATGTTTAAAGCTGATATAATACACTTTAAATTCTGGTTTTAAAAGTGCAATAAGTTCTCTTCTGTCAAACAGTGATGGCAAATCAAGTCGTTATTACCATGGTCAAGATCAGTATGATCACTTGGATCAGGAAGTTGGATGACAAAAATTTCATCTGCAAAAATTTCATGAGTACTTGAGGAAAAAAAAGAATGTTGGAGTTTTAAAATGCATAGCTAAGAAAGTACAGGCAAGGATAGTCCCCTTACAAAGCTCTACAGAATGTCCAAAGCCCTTCAAGTGTTGCCCAGAGAATTTTTCAACCTTCTCATTTGAAACCTGTATCTAGATTTCTAGACCATTCTTTGGCAAATATGGAATCATTCAACTGCATGATTTGTTCTTGCCTAAGTGTCTTGGTGCATACTTGTGCTATAATAACAGGCTCAGGATAATGTCCTTTTAATTTTACAAGGCATATACATTAAACAAGAGCAGAGAGACCATAGATCTTAAAAACTCTGGTTGCGCCAGGCTCGGTGGCTCAGCCTGTAATCCCACGCCTTTGGGAGGCTGAGGTGAGGGGATTGCCTGAGCCCGCGGGTTCGAGACCCGCCTGGGCAGCGAGACCTCATCTCTACAATCAATCAAAAAATCAGCCGGGCGTGGTAGGGCGCGCCTGTAGTTCCGGCTACTCGGAAGTCTGAAG